GGTTAAAAAAATTACTTTTTTTGATTCTTAATCTTTCCCTCTTGCTCTTGCTTTTGCTCTTAGATAAGATATAGAAATAAGTTTAGAGTTTAGTACGATATACAAGGATTGTTATATATCAGATTTAGGATAGTTGTTGAAAGTAGGTTTGCCATTTCGAGTAGTACATAGTATAAATATAAGTATTAAGACCTATATGAGAGCGCCACATCGGATCTACGTTTTTGTTTTATGTGTATATTAGAGTTGAAAGCTGGGCCTAGTAGTCCATTGAGATGCCCAAATTGATGGACGCGTACGGTTTCAATCGGGAAAACCACCCTTAATCAACGCCAATAATCCTATTCAATTTAAAAGTTTTTGTCACATTTTCCTTAGAAAGTTTTAGAATCTTGGTACGCTATATTTTCAAAAACACTGATATACAAGTTAAAATTTACCATGATAAATTAATTGACGATTTAACCACAGAGGAAATAAATAAAATTTTAGAACAATTTCATAAATCTCAACTAACGGGAGGACATTTAGGGCATAAAAAACATTTAATAAGATTAGAAATATCTATAAGTAGCCGAAAATGCGGAAACAAATAAAAGAGTACGTCAACAAATGCACGGAATGCCAAAAAATAAAATATCTAGATTAACTAAACAACCCTTAGTAATTACAACTACCGCTAGAGAACCTTTTGAAAAAGTTTGCATTGACATCTGTGGTCCATATTCAATTTCTGAGTCGGAAAATAAATACCTCTTAACATACATTTGCGATCTCACTAAATTTGCGGTCGCAATACCCATTCCTAATCAAGAGAGCGCAACGGTTGCAGACGCAGTTGTATCAGAAATTGTTTTAAAGTTCGGTCTTCCGAAAGAAACATTGTCCGATCAGGAAACTACTTTCACCAGCAACATATGTAAAGATGTTTGCAAATTATTAAAAATAAAAAAATTAACAACTTCTCCATATAGACCAGAGTCGAATGGCTCATGCGAACATATATTAATAAAACTCAAACCGATTGGGATAGGTGCATTAAGTATGCCGTTTTTATTCATAACACCACTATTCATGACGCAACAAACTATACGCCTTTCGAATTGTTATTTGGTAGAAAAATAGAGTTACCTTTGTCTTTAACAAAATGTTACAATTATCAATATAATTACGACACTTATGTTCACGAATTGGAATCCAGATTGCTACATGCTAATAAACTTGCTCGTGAAAATTTAATACATAGTAAGGAACAAACTAAATCACATTATGATCAAAATTTAAATCCACAAACTTTCGAAGTTGATGATTTTGTTCTTCTAAGAGACGAAACTTCGTATCCGCGGAGATGTAAAAAACTTTTACCATTATGGAAAGGGCCTATTGAAATTTTAAATTCCGATAATATTAATAGTACAATTTTAGTTCATAATAAGCCGGTACAAGTCCATAAGGAGCCGTTCAAGTATTACGTAAGCACTATAGGGGGGCGGGGGGGTTATTGATTTGCTTATTTTGCTTATTTTGGGTAAGAACTTTTGCTTACTTTTGCTGACAAAGGGGAGGGGGGGGTAAATAATTGTAATAAATCTGCTTACGTAATACTTGAACGATCCCTAACAATAAACTGAAAAAAATTACAGAAAATGATTAAAAGACTTCTGATTTTCGCAATCTTTATCAAACAGTCAAAAAATAAAATAAATAAAGTAATCATAGGATAACTGCATCAATAATAAAAATCATAGGATAGTAATGTTAGTTCATAATGAAGTGCAAATAGCAATGTGTTAAGTTTAAATTTCATAAATTATTTCATAAAAAATTTAATTCTTTGATATGTTAACTCTTATATTATTGTGAATATTTATAATATTTGAATAAGTATTTTGTATTCTAAAGTGGTAAAATTAATTTTTCTTCTGTAATACGCCGAGGACGGCTTTATAATTGCAAGGGAGGTGTTAAGAACTATTATGTATTTATTATAATATTTTATGTTTATCACATTTTCATTAAAATATGTTTGTAATTTTATCTTCAATGTTCGTACCATTTATATAAAACTTTTATAAATCGACCCTTATCCGACAATAAGGGTCGAATCAGGTAAAAACTGATTATTATTGAGCGGGGCTTAGTTATGTTGGAACCGCCATCAAGGGCATATTAAAAATATCAACACTCAATAATGTAAGTTACAATTTAAAATAAAATCAAGAAATCTTAAAAAGTGTTTGTTTTTACATATCAAGAAGAGAACCAATAATATCTCTTCAATATATATATATTAAGGTGGTCCTTAAAATGGTCATTTTCGAATTTCCTTGCTCCCAGGGGCTCAAATGGTTCCAAATAGATAAAAAACAATTCTCTGAAAGTTTTAGCTCTTAATATTAACGTTTAGATAGAGCGCAATTAAATCAAAGTTTTGTATGGAAATAGCATGTCAACAACCATAAGTTTGATTTTGACAATCCCCAAATTTTATTCCATGAGAAAGACTTATTTAAACGGAGCATGGCAGAATCAATGTTAATAGTTCGGACTAACAATAGCATAAATCTAAGAAACGACACAAATATTTTACATGACACTTATATAAACATCATTAATAATTTATAAATTTTTTCATTTATCTTATTCTTTTCAATAAATTAATTTGTTTTTTCATTTTTATCGATTTTGTATGCGATAGCACTCCTTTTGTTTACATTATAATGATACCCTCTCTGTCTCCATCTATATAAGTACTTCAAATTGCTTAGAATATTTCTGTAAGTGTTATACGAGTATGTTTCTTTAGTACTGTGTCAAGCATTGCAAGGAATAGTTGGTGTTTTTTGTATACCAAAATTAAATGAAATTTAAATAAATTATTTAAAGAATGTGTAGTATATAAGTAACTGTTTTTGAAATTACACTGAAGATGAGACACACCATGGTCTCGAAACGTCTGTAATCATAAAATAAAGTTGTGTTAAACAAATCTGAGTGCTGTTTTGTTCATATTAAACAATTAATATTCGTTCCACTCATATCATAAAATTCTATATATATATATATATATATATATATATATATAATATTTGGATGAAAACTAAAATTAAGAATTTTTGTTATAAGTGCAGAATTTTGTATTCGCGTTGCCGTGTCATGCATTTATGTAATGTAATCGCCATGTAAGTAGTAATTTCATCGGTTATGCAGTTGTATTATTGCACCAGCTTATACAGTTGTATTTTTCACTCCAAACACTGCCATATCGGTCCCTTTATTCACATAATGGCAAATATATTTTATTGTTCCCAGCAAATTGAGCTTCTCAAGATTTATATGCGCCTGATATGCTTTTAATAATGAGGGAGATAGTTATGTTGAGTACTTTTAACTTAATAACATTAGTAACTTTACTTTTCCATAAGAGCAGCAAATGTCTGCTGTTTTAATTTGCAAAGGGTCTGGGCGTGTTTCCATACAGAATTGGCCTCACCCTGGTATTTAAATTATTTTGATGCCATTTTATAGGTATTTTCGATAAAATTCGAAATACCAAATTTCAAATCCATAGCTCATCATTTGGCCGAGATATCAGTGAAAACATTTGAAAGTGGCCCCTTTTTTCAAACTCAGTTTTTGCCGGAAATATGAGAGATATCGAAAAAATGTTAACGTCATTCCATTTATACTGATCTTGTCTATGTTGTTCATAACAAATAATGTGAAAAAATTATTTGTTAGTGCGTGAAAAGGTGAAAATGATTTTTAATTTTCCATTTTCTACCAGTGCGACTCTATGGACTACTTTTAAATTAGTATCATTCGACAGCCTGTACATTTTTTTTCTGTTATTAATTTCCCGTAGGGCAAGTTATGCTAATTCCGTAGGCAAGTTAGAAAAAATGGATGTATGTGTGCGTGTGTGTGTGTGTGCGGATACAAACTTTCGTCGACGATTTGGGAAACACGGATCAACCGATTTGAATAATTCAAAAAACATTCAATTCGTATTGATAAGGAGACGTACTGATTAGTTTTTGGCGACGGTCTAGCTGTTCCAAAGATACAGGACAAAAAGTGACAAAAAACGGTAACTCAATTTTGAAGAGAACGGAGCGTCCGATTTCAATAATTCAGAAAATATGTCACTTCTATTGACAAGATTAAGAACTGATTAAAGTTTTGGGAAGACAGGTCTAGCGGTTATAGACTCTCAATAAAAATAAGTTAAAAAAAACGCCTGTTGGCGGTTAAAAAAGATCATTAGCTATATGCACATCAAATTATCAGATATTTTATAGAGATGTTCATAATGTGTACACATTTTATGTAATTTTTTTTTGGGTTCCGTACCAAGATTTCTAATTACGGTACGGGAAGTTCCAGCAATTTGCCTTAAGGCACGATGCTGTGCACCCCACTGGTTTTCATTCCTCTGATGTTAAATTATGATACGGAAAGTACCAGCAATTTGTCTTAAGGCACGATGCTAAGCACCCCACCAGGTTTATATTAAATTATCATAATACGGATATTATTTTAATGGAAATACTGTCCTTTATTTTGTACAAGATTTTATTTATGTACACAATGCTACTAGATGTTATGTTATTTAGCTGTTGTAACAAATATTGAAATTAAAAAAAAGGTGTTTATGAATTTAATTTCATAATTACTCATTTCATGTAATAATTCAATTATCTGACCACAAATTAATATGCAATGTCATGATAAAGTACAAATAAAAATAATTATTTATTCTATCACTTTTTATATATTTTCAAAATTGTTAGTTTATTTTTGAAAAAAATATTTTGCAACTAGCTGTACGCCCCCATGCAACAGCCGCCACGTGCCCCTCTGAGGAGGCCACACACAGTAAAGCTATTAAGTTCTATGAGAAAAATGATTTCTAACAAAAAATCCGCACTTACTTAGCTTCTGGTCTGATTGTAGTTTATAAGCTTTATTATTAAATCAAATCACCAAAATATACATACCGACAATTGCTTCTTCATTGCAGGAGGCGTAGCATTGGGTTTACTAGCGTGGCTACGGGAATTTTGTAATCTGCTAGAAGCGCCCATATTTCTAGGCAATGTCTGTGATTTACCCAGAGATTGGCATGATCCATTTGCTGGCTTTCGTGATCCGATGCAGAGCTTACGACCCGTAGCTGAAATATTCATTAAATACTTACATACATTAACCTGCGACAATAAAAATTCAGTGACTATAATGCAATTTGTGAGAGATTAATAATTCTTTTCGGTCGAATTAAATTTGGAGATGGGTATCGTAGTACTCGAAATGATTTTCCGTCGATCGAGCAGAACACGTAGCTTAGGATGTGAAAAACAAGATTTAATAATTGTTTTGTGAACTCTATATTTTTATTCAATTAACTTACCTAGTGTTGTTTTTGTATGAAAGTTATGTTTTATAAATACTGTATGCATACAGTACACGATTCGAATGTATGGATGCATAGAGTACACGTTTCGAATTGTAACTTGTCGTGATGGCTGAGAGCAGACATACGACCAGAACGGTAAGGTAAAATGGCTTTGGTGGCTGATAGTGGAGAAACGAGCAATAAGAGTTAATACAATGCATTTTTTGTAAAAGTGTAAATATTTATGCAACTTATGAGCCTGTACCAATGTAGAAAATATTTAAATAAACATTCGAAGATGTTTATTATTTTCATTTATTTCATTATTCTGTTGCACTTGTATACAACTAAACACAACTTCAATATAGAATTAACATATTGATCTGAAGACTGACAATGAGTATTGATGAGAAAGACAGGTACTGAATGAGTAAAAATGAACATGAGAATGAGTAACGATTTCATTATTTTGTAGCTTATATACTCCTTATCGGAATGGCAAAATCCTTTCCAGAATGCCTGTTCTAACTTGTTCAAATTTGTTATATGTGCGTCGCAAACTACGCTTTTCAATTGATGATAAAGGTGGGTCCACACCTAACTAACGAACACGAACGAACATGACGAACAAGAAAATACAAAGAAGAACAAACACGAACACGAACAAAGGCTAACGAACAAACACGAACAAACATGACGAGCAAGAAAATACAAAGAAAAAACAAACACGAACACGAACAAAGGCAAATCATTCCAAACAAACGCCTCAAAGCAGTAAGAACTTGAATCTTTTTGTTCGAGGATGTACAGTGAAACGTCAGATTTATTATTTAAAGTGGCGGGAAAGAGAAAAATTATTTAAAGTCATCAAATTTACAAAATTTGTCAATAACAGCAATATCTTATAATAAACACAACATAAACTAATGCAGGACTGCACATTTTAAAATCAAAAAAGAAAAATGTTTGTCTACATTCGTGGTAGCGTCCACACTGCACATACGAGTTCAAACGTGAACGAACAATTCTCTTTGATATACCGACAAGTTGCGGAGCATTGCTCGCCATGTTGTTTATGTTCGTTCGTGTTCGTTGTGGCGTCCACACTATGCCTCTATTAATGAGTTTTACGTCAAGAAAACTCATTAATAGAGGCGGTGTATGTTTCACAGATTGGTACAGAAATGATAGTTGGCCCGGGAGGTACATTAACTTTAATTCGCATGTTCCAATTCCAATATAAAAAATAATTTATAAAAATTTATACCATTTTTAATCTTGTAAATCACGCTATTTTATTATCTGATCCTCTGTTTCATGATACAAACATAAAATTAGTGAAAACAATCCTACTTGGCAATAATTTTCATATAAGTTAATATGTCCAATTATCAAAAACAGAGTCGCTAAATTACTTGAACCTTTTGATAAGAAACTGGAAGATCATGGCCAAACAAGTGTTCCTGAAAAAACTTTTTTCATTAATTTTCCATATCTTGACAATAATTTTAACCAATTATCAAAAAGACTATTCAAAAAACACAATATTCATATTACTTTTTCTTCATTGAAACATTTAAAATTTTTATATTCCAACATTAAAGACGAAACTCCTTTAACAAAAAAGAAAGATATAGTTTACAAAGTAAATTGTTTGGATTGTAATTGCTCTTATATTTGCCAGACCTGCCAGAACTTAGAGAAAAGACTCAGGCAACATGAATTACAATGCGAAAAAAAAAATAACAAAAAATTTAAAAGTACACTTGTGGATCATGCTAATATCAACAACCATAAGTTTGATTTTGACAATCCTCAAATCTTATTCCATGAAAAAGACATCATTAATAATTTATAATTTTTTCATTCATCTTATTCTTTTCAATAAATTAATCTTTTTTTTATATTTATCGATTTTTGTATACGAGCGCATTCCTTTTGTTTACATTATAATGTTACCCACCCTGTCTCCGTCTAGATACTTCAGATTTGTTTCGAATAATTCTGTAAGTGTCATATGTCGGTTAGCACCGTGTCAAGCATTGCAAGAAACAATTGTCACTTGTCAATGCAAGGAGTAGTTGGTGTTTTTATATTTAAAAGTTAAATATAGTTTAAATAAAATATTAAATAATGTATAGTAATAAGTAACTGTTTATTGAAATTACACTGAAGATGAGGCACACCATGGTCTAGAAACGTTTGTAATTATAAAATAAAGTTGGTAAAAAATCTGAGTGTTGCTTTGTTCATATTCAACATTTAATATTCGTTCCACTCATATCACAAAATTCTATAATATATATATATATATATATATATATATATATATATATATATATGATAAAATTGTTCTTGGGCATCCATGGGTTAAAAAATTCCTAACCTTACTTGTTTTTGAGACATTGGCAGTGGATCTTTTTACCCACAAACTTTTAAGCTCCGCTCTCCCCTATTGTTTTTTTCGACTATATATTCATTTTTCGCCGGAAGCGAAATTATAAAATATTTTTCAACCGAAAAACAATGAGATTGTCATTCGAAAGTGACAAATGAGTACAAGTCTTTGAGGTCCCCGACGTGAAAAGCGCGGCTCGCGCTTGAAAATATTTTATATCTTTCGACGTAACAAAGTCTCCAACAAATTGTAAAAAGAATTTTGTTGCAGAGAAAAAAAGAAAAAAATATGTTTTTTTTGGATCGATTCAAGTTGGGGTAAGGCTGAGTAAAACCTTTGTAAATATTTAAAGGTTGTTATTGTTATGAAAATTGCAAAAACAAAAAAAAAATTTTTAATCATTACAAAGTCCACTTCAATATGAGTGTAATAAAAAAAATAATACTGATCCGATCAGCACATCCGGAGATAATTAATTTACCGCAGATGATGTTCATAGAAATTGAGCAAAAAATCCATATTTCAATCGTAAATATTTACGTAAAAAATTTTTTTCAGCAAAATCCTGAAATACGTGTCAAATGTTTTCATGAATAGTATCTGTGAACAAATTTTCAGACAATTCTAAATTGTCAAGGTTAATTGGTGTTCGGTTTGTAAAAGAATGACCCATATATTATATTATGTTATAATTTTTTATAATAACTTGTTCCATAACTAATATCGTTTCATAGTTAATATTTATACATTTTCCTAATAAAATTCTCTTCATCGCATATTTTTTCATTTTTACAATGTCTCTCATGGTTGTATTATGTTTCTATATTTCATTTTTATCCACATATGTTCATCCGTTGATTACAGGTTGTTTCAACATGCTATTTTTTTCTATTGTTCCTACTGCGCATGATCGCCGAGGAAATCTGAGGTAATATGAGGCCACTAATATGAGGTCTCTCTATCCCGGTCTTTCAACCAATGAAGATACAGTTCCACAATTTTCCGCATACACATAGGCACACATTTTACTTGTTGCACAAACTCCAAGCTAACAACATGCTTCGTTTGGAATAAGCTTTTTTTATAATAAAATATATTTTTTATTTTTATTTTAATTTTACAATTATTTAAAATTTACCATAACGTGACATTTATCAACTTGTGTTTCATAATTTTTTCGTGCAATTTTCGTGTGTTTTTGTGTTTTTTTTTTTCAATTTGTTTGCATGGTGAATTCTTTACATTTGTTTATATCTCTGTTTGTATTTTCATTTTTGTTATATACTTTCACAATATATATTAGCTGACCAGGCAAACGTTGTTTTGCTATGTTAGGTATTTCTAAGCAACTTCTAAAGAATAAAAAAAAGAATACTTTATTTTAGGAGTATAAGAATGTATAGTTCGAATGGTACAGACAATGATGTATTATAAACTCCAAAGTCTACTTGTATAATAATAAATTATATAATTCACAATAACAATATTCGTTTGACCATACTTTGTTAATACAATCAAACTGGCAGTTTTATACACTTTCTATAAAAATATGGTATAATTCAATCCAAGTCTTTTTTAATCTTTAGCCGTGGTCAATGTTCAGTTGGTCATTTTTGCCCCACACAGATGTAAGTTTTTAAAGTGGTTTTTAAAATCTCAATTTTTTTTTTTTTTTTTTTGTATTTATTTTTCATAGCAAGCTATACAAAGTACATTCAGCTACATTTGTTACAGTTATATATTATTTGTCTGCGTGAGAAGGATCGCTATCCTGCGATAGCGCCTTCATAGATATTATATTATATTTTGTAGTAAATCGTTGCATATTCTTTTTTTAAGACGCTTTGGTGGTAAAGGCTTGAGCAGATCTGACGCTAATACGTTTGGATGACGACTCAGACGAGCTTTATATCTGGTGCAGTATAGATTAATTTCTTCATCTATAGTTCGGACTCTGAGATCTTGATGTATCAACCAGTTTGGAACATATTTTGGAGCGTTCACGATTTCTTTCAAAATTTTGTTTTGAAACCTTTGTAAAATAGTTATATTTGATTTACTGGCCGCACCCCATAGTTGTAGACCGTAGGACCATATTGGTTTAATTATTGTCTTGTAGATTAAGAGTTTATTTTCTATTGTGACTTGTGATTTCCAGCCCATTAACCAATTTAGTTGTCTACGTGTTAATTCAAGCTGCTGACGCTTCTTTAGAATATGTTCATGCCAGGTTAATCTTCTATCTAAATGTAATCCCAGATATTTAACAACATTGGATACAGGAACCAAATCACCATTCAATCTAATAGGGGGGCATGAACCTTGTCTTAAGGTAAAAGTAACGTGAACTGATTTAGAGTTATTCACTTTTATTCTCCATAGT